GCCATCCGGGAAGCCCAGCGGGGGGCCGTCCGCATCCGGGAAGCCCTGCGGGAGAGCTTCCTGGTGGAGGAGGAGGACTGACCTCTCCCTGCATGCCCCACTGGGGCTTTGCTGTGTCTCTCTCCGCAGGTGGTCAAGGCCATCAACCGGGTGCTGCTCCGCAGGGTGGTCCGCCTCGCCGACCCGGACGCCGTCATCCGGGGCTTCGGCGCCCTCGGCTTCCCCAAAGTGTCCCAGCCGCCCAGCTGGAATGGACTCCAGTCTCTTGATGCCAGTCCAGTGTAGTTGGAGTCTAGTCCTTCATGGGCAGCGGGTAATAATTCATCTCTGGGCCTCCCTGAAACTGCGGGATGGAGAGCGCCGGCTCGGATGGGAACTGTTCTGTTCCGTTCTTGCACCGCACTGGCTGTCCTGCAAGGAGGGGTCTCCCGTAACTGATCTTAGAGCAGCTTCTGTTGCTCATTAATTTACAAGAGCCCTTTTGTCAGCCAGAGGCTGAGAGCTCCCGGGGGGCCTTCCCTTGTGGGGATGGTATTTCCCGCCTACCTCCCTAGAGATTTCCAATTCCTTTTCAGCCGCACGGCATTTCAACGGCAACCAGCTGGGAACTCTGGGCCTGGCCCTCCACTGGTGTAAACCAGGACCTCTGAGTGCCCCAGCCCTAGAGACAGGGTTCTCAACTTCCACGCCTTGTAAGCCAGGGCCATTGAACACAAAGGCAACAGCCATGACACAACACAGCAGCTTCCCGGAGGACTTTGAGCCTCATCCTGCGGCCACTGGAGGCAGCGGGTGTTTTGATATTAACTTGGCTGGGCCCTTTCCCCATCGGCCTCTGTGCTCTGCAAGTGGAAACGGGGATGGCAGGTGGCATATTTTGCCATGAATTGCAAAGTGTGTGTGTGGGGGGGGAAGCATCCTCAGCTCCAGCTGCATCGGTCCCGAGGTTAATTTTCCTAAAAGAATGAACTTCACGGTAAAGTCAGGCCCCCATCTGCGGGATCCTGGCGCTGCTCTGGAAGGAGCTGAGCCCGGTGGTGTGACGTAATGGGGGTACCTTGCTGGTTGCTATGCTGGGCAGCGGGCTGTGGGTGACCTGCACTGGCTGCAGCACGGCCCAGCTGGGCAGGGGATGAGTCATAATGCAAGAGGGCTGCGAACCTGTCCGACCAGTTATCTCCCAGGGAGAGGAACAATGGGAAGAAGGGGAGTGGAGCCCTGGCTGGGAGGCAGGGCTGGAAGAGAGTGGTAGTTTCGGTCTGGGAAGCAGGGGAGAAGGAGCTAGGGAGGGGGGCTGGGATTGTAGGGCCCAGCCACCCCCCATCTCAAGGGGGGGCACTGAGGCCCTTAGCCCCAGTTCCTGTAACCAGATCACAACTGTGCTATGCTGTATCCTGGAGAAGCAATAAACTCCTTCTATTCTACTGGCTGGTGGAGTCTGTTCGTGCCACTACAGGGGTGCAGGAGACGGGGAAACCCCAACGCTCCGTCACAGGCGGTTCCCTCCGTAAACCCAGAAACGTTTCTCTCCCCTGCCATCTCCGTCCTTGACTACCCTGCATGTAACACTGGCAGCCCTTGAATCGCTTC